CAGTAACTCTGGTAATTGGAGACTCCATAGTCTATGCCTGCACCATATGACACTCTCTGTGCCTGTGTCGTTTTCCTGTTTTTTTGTTGTTGTTGTTGTGTTTTTTTTGTACAGGCACACAGTGCACAAATCCATGCTTCAGCTGTTCAGCAACACATGTCCAAGCGGCCACCGTACTCCTACATGGCTATGATCCAGTTTGCTATCAACAGCAGGCCGAATAGGAGGATGACACTCAGAGAAATTTACATGTGGATTGAGGAGCACTTCCCTTACTTCAGAGAGGTGGCCAAACCAGGATGGAAGGTACTTTGGAAGTGAAAAATAATTGTATTTGTGGGTGCACGTACTATGTCAGGTAACAGATTAAAATTGTTGTCACGTACTGAAACATGCTCATGTATGACTGCAGAATTCCATCCGCCATAACCTTTCTCTGCATGACATGTTCATTCGGGAGACATCACCAGATGGTAAAGTTTCTTTCTGGACCATCCGGCCTGAGGCTAATAGATGCCTCACTCTTGATCAGGTGTACAAGGTGAGCACAGCTGCTTTTTTTATCATTCTCAAAGTCTTCACATCCTTCTATCTCTATAAAGAAAAAGCTGTAATCATTTGCTCTGCTTGTTTATCATCATGGTGGCGGGCCTTTTTCAGCACAGGAAAGACAGTTTATAATCACTGAGGTGACCATGTTCTTTAACAATTTTCATGTCCTTTTCTATGATTTCCAGCTTATCTGCCAAGTTTTGCATACCCTTTGTCATACAGTATACTGTGCTTTTGAATTGATTTTGTTATATAGTCCTGATGGTTTTCTATCCTCTCATTTCACATCCCTCTCTACAGCCTGGTTGCGACCCCATGACTACTCCTGTTCCAGTGCCAAAGCTTTTATGCCCCCATGAAGTAAGATGAACTTACTTTTCTCCCTGTTCTCTAGGAAAAGTCTTCACCTTTAGTCGAGCAGCAGACAGCAGAAAAGGGACAGAAAAAAAATCAGGAGATTCACAGTTTCATTGCCTGTTTGTCACCAGACTCTTGGGCCTCTTTGTTGCAGGAGCAGATAATATGAGCAGCAGGGAAGCAGAGAGGCTGAAGTCACACTTAGACTAGTGTGCTTTTTGTCTTCCATAAGAGGTCTAACTTTGACTTTCCTCTGTTCTAGTTTTCCATACCATAAACAATGTAGAGAACACAGGTTGTCATTAAAATGTAGTCAGGAATGAGAGAGCACTTTAAGACTGTTAAGGCAGTATACTGTGATGTCACCTACTCTTACTTTCAACAGCCTCAAAGGAGGATGCTTCCTGATGCAAGAAAAACACCAACTTGCTCTGGTGAGTTAACACATTTTGGGAGAGTTAATGGGAAGCTGGAGAAAGGCAGTTTGAAGTTGGCAAATGTCAGTAATTGTTTTTTAGTTTGAAGACTTAAGATACCCTGCTGAGTTGGTGTTGTCTGTTTTATGTTCAGAGAGAAAGATGAAACCTCTTCTCCCTCGAACCGATTCCTACTTGGTCCCTTTTCAGCTCCCTGTCACCTCCTCTGTCTGCCTGCCGTCCTCATCGGCCCTGTTTACTCCGTCTTGCTCACAGCAGAAGCACAACACTTCACGAGGAGTCAAGAGAGTCCGGATAGCTCCTAAGGTAAAGGCCTGGTCATGCACTGCAGAATTATGACCAAATCCAAACACACACTCTTGATGATCCTGATGGTTGGAATTGGTATATTTGAAAAGCTAGATTTCCAATGTATATTTTGATCTGTGTTTGAATGACCCAGTCACAGGTAGAACTGTAAAGTGCATGGTTGTATGTCTGGCAGGTGACACAGAGCAATACCCCAGCTGTGGTATTATATCCTCAGAAGAGCAATGACCATAAGGTGGAGGTGAAGGAGGAGTCATTATGTGTTCCAATTAAATGTGAGACTCCTAAAGCCCTTCCAAAGAGACAAGCCAGCAGCTCTCGACGCAAACAACAGCTGGTTCACTCTCTACATGAGGAACCTGTTCTCCTCTGTCCTGACAATACTTACTTTGACTCTGGCATAGCCTCCCACATGTCATCTTTCCATGACCTGCAAGATACAGAGCCAGATGGGCACCAGCACAAGCAGCACAGCCCCAACCAGGATTTCTCCTTCAAGACCCCCATAAAAAGTAGCAGCCACCTGACCTCCTCCACACCCAGCAAACCCCCATCTCATGTTTTACGTGAGCCCTGGAAGGTGACCCCTGTGAGCAAAGGCAGCCAAAATGTTTTGGACTTCAGCCCAATTCGCACACCAGGTGGTCCCGCAATCACGCTGCAGTATGACTACACCACCTTCAGCAGTACTTCCTTCAATGACTGGCCTCTCTTTAGTTCCCCCAGAGAGCTTCTCACATTTGCTCCCTCCAGAGTGGCCAGACCAGTGGGGTCTCCCATTGAATGTGTCCGAAGCAGCTGCTCCAGAGAGCTACTTCAGGCGGGAGGTGCTACACCCACTAACCGCTCAATCACAGAGGGCCTGGTCCTGGATACCATGAACGACAGCCTGAGCAAGATACTCCTGGACATTAGCTTCCCTGGCCTGGATGATGAGGACCTAGGTATGGCTAACATCAGCTGGTCTGAGTTGGTCCCTCAGTTTCAGTAGCCTGAGGGCCAAAACACATTTACAGGGTGGTGTCATATGTTTTTAAAACACTATAGGTGGGAAAGCCCACACAGTGGCAGCAAAGCAGATGCAAATGCAGGAAAAATGATCAGTCTCTGAAGGGAAAAAAAGTGTGGAAACTGTCTGATTTAGAGGAAGTCTAAAATTATAATAACTGGCCTAAAAGCAACATTATGTTGTTTCAAAAAGAGACCTTTCCATACAAATGGAGATATGTTATTTAGTTAGATAAGCCAGCACCAGCTGGTTCAGTCAGCCTACTGGACTTGTAGACTTGTAGCTTGCAATGCAGGATTGTTAGCAATAAACAATGGCAAAGTAATACAAATAGCACTAACAGCAATAGGGTTGTCTCTGTATGTTAATACAGTGTCTACAATACAGGGGATAATTTGTTTTTGTTAGATAGGGGTTAGGTCAAACCCATAATGTATCAGTGGATACTATGACTGTGTAAATTCCATTTAATTTCATCACATCAGTAGTATTCATATTGCTATTTTTTTTCTGCATTAAAACACTAAGAGCGAAACAATGTAACAACCATCACTTCTGCTGCCTTTAATATTACGTGTGTAACCTTCCACTCCCTTTCTGTAGTTGTTCATTTGAACCTTTTTATATGTTCAAGTGCTAAAAGTCTGATTCTGCTCTGTTTTGCATCTGCTTTTGTTTTCTTTAGTTTTTGACTGCCATTTGGAATTAAGTCAGATTTTTGAGTGAGTGATGGGGGGCACTTTAATTTTAGTTACCAGGTCAAAGGTTGCATGATGCTCATTTGTTTTTCTCCACCTCTGGCTTTTGTTTTTTCATTGGTCACATCACTCAACAGCTTCAGCTTTACTGTTATTTCTTTCTTAAAATTTTTCCACATTGACACATCACTAGAGTACTGACAGGAACTAGCAAGAGAGATCACATCTCTCCCATATTAGCTTCTCTCCACTGGCTCCTTGTAAAAATCAGAATAGAATTTAAAATCCTTCACCTAACGTACAAAGCCCTTAATGACAAGGCTCCATCGTATCTTAAAGACCTCGTAGAGCCTTATCATCCTAACAGAGCACTTCGCTCTCAGAGTGCAGGTTTACTTGTGGTTCCTAGAGTCCACAGAAGCAGAATGGGAGGCAGAGCCTTTAGCTATCAAGCTCCTCTCCTATGGAACCAACTCCCAGTCTCAGTTCGGGAGGCGGACACCCTCTCTACCTTTAAGATTAGACTTAAGACGTTCCTTTTTGATAAAGCTTATAGTTGGGGCTGGATCAGGTGACCCTGAGCCTTCCCTTAGTTATGCTGCTATAGGCCTAGGCTGCTGGGGGGCCCCATGATGCTCTGAGTTTCTTTCCCCTCCCCTCCTGCTCTGCTCTGCTCTCCTCTCCTCTCCTCTCTCTCCCTATGCTTCTATATGCCACCATTACACATTACTAACTTTGTGTCTCCTCTCTCCCATAGTGTGTCCTCTCTCTCTCCCTGTACCTTTCTACAGGTTGCCCTGGCCCTGGAGCTCTGCAGCTGTGTTAGTCTTGTTTGATATATTTTAAATCACTTATTTAGAAAGTGAATGTGGTTTAACAGAACATTTGTGCTTAGGTTTCCACCTGCATCTGGAGGTAAATGTCTGCAGGCTGAAGGCTGAACTGAGGAAACAACCTGTCAGCAGCTAGAAATATCTGCCAGAAAACCACAGGATATGTGAGGACATACAGAAATCCTCTTATCAACGTTTACCTTGTCTCCTCTCTTCACCGTCCTTGTCGTCAGCTTCCCAATGGCTTTCTTTGCTGCATCCCCAAGATGACGCTGAGGGACAGAGGATCACATGTCTAAAGGTATGTGGACAGTCAGTGAGATGTGACCAGATTTGTTGTTGTTACAAACAGTGCCTTCATGGCCTTTATTCTTTCTTTATTTTGTAATCAAGTCTCAACAAGGACATTTTCCAACAGCTCTACAAAACACATTTCTTCACTCATCAGTTCTCAGCTTCTTACAGCATATGACAAATATTTTCCACATAAATATTTATTATCTATTTCCTGGTCAATTTGTAGTCATACTTTTGCCTTTTTTCCTTTAGTCCACTGGCTTGACATGTATTAGCTTTGAGAAGTGCCCAGATTTGTTATTTTACTACTTATTGATTCATTCATGGTAAATGGTCTTGTACAGGGTGGGCCACGGACAAGTAGCCTGCCTCCGGTGATAGTATGAACAAGCAAGTGGATTGTTTTGGAGGTGGGCTACTTTTCCGTGGCCCACGTGTTATAAGTATATAGTGGTGAATAAGTGGTTGTGTAATGAATCATCTGAGTTTCCATTATTTCTTATGGGGAAATTCGTTTTGATATACGAGTGCTTTGGATTATGAGCATGTTGCCAGAATGAATTATACTCGCAATCCAAGTGTTTTACTGTACTATGGCCTGTTCCCAGCAACTGGGGAATGTAATATGTAGTCACTTTGGGGGATCGTGCAGATTGGACAGCATTGGGGAGGAAGGCCAGTCACTGTTTCCTTTCCCTTAACCACACACAGTGTCACTGGACTGCTAACACCCTCTTAGAAAAACTCCCTTCTCAGGGTCTGTAAGCTGTTTAGGATGGATAAGGATAATAAGGATAACTAGAGAATTGCATTTTCTGAAGAAAATGCGTATGGATGCTGAGTGCTGAAAGATCGCCCTGAAAGTGCTGAACATTTTGACACCTGAATGGTTTTGCTAGCTGAAAGTAGGCTGAAGTAGAATTTTCCCATTCATTTTAATGGGGCAAGATTTTCAAAATAAAGCTAAATATTTCAAGAGTATGAAGTTTAGACCCCTCCTCGCCTGGCATGGCGCAGCTGGGGCCCCACCCTGGAGCCAGGCCCGGGGTTGGGGCTCGAATGCGAGCACCTGGTGGCCGGGCCTCCCCTCACGGGGCCCGGCTGGGCTTAGCCCGAACGAGCGACATG